AAAAAAAATTTAATTAGCATCAAGAAATTTTAAATAATTTTTAAAAACTTTACATTCCCAGGAAACTGCTGTGTTTGTGAAATGTTCTATTTTATGTACTATGCATTGTAACATATAAGTGTACGTACTTTACGTCTAAACAACTTATGTGAAGGTGGTTTCCTATTTGTCGTGATGTTTGCCCTCTGAAGATGGTCCGCAGAAACCGAAACATGTAAGGGTGTTAAGTTTTTCATGTAGTAATAAACGTACAGGTCACATAGGACGGAGTGATTTATATTTGCGTTGATTACTGTAATATACCAGTTTGCATCTTAACGGTAAAGTTAAAAAAAAAGTAAAGTTGTTCCTGTGCTTAACTAATTAAGCACTACACCACAAAGACATATGGGGGAATGGAAGTATAGATCCATGTTTTCTTCATCTCGACACTAGTTGGAGGTGAGTGGTCAGCTTCATGCCCTGGCCACTTTACTCCCACGGAAAGAGCACCCACCATCCATTGGACAGGAAGCTGCATGGCATGGAGAGGAGAAAAATCTTACCCCTGTCAGGTCTTGAACTCAAGCCCTCATCTGTCTAGTCTGTAGCCAGTCACTATACTAATTGCACTATCCCAGCTCCCTGCATCTTTACAGCATGTTAAGAAACAGTTATTCTCTGTACCTCATATTCCTGAAGATTAAAGAAAGTCAGTGTATTTTGCCATGTTATTTGGAATACTCTTTATGGGAAGACCTGCAATGCTTTTCTGCACACATCTCAAACATAACTCATTTGAACTGAACAAAGAGAAAACCAAAATACATCTTCTGCCCAGTACATTATCCCCATAAGTCTTGTGGTTCTCATGGTATTTAATCAAGATGAATTTTATACCGTCTACAGACAGTAACAGAGTGAGCATTCCAAAACTGTTTTGCTGTATATAAATATCATGACTTGCCTGAAGTAGTAGTTATCATGTAAATATGAATGTAATGAAGAACGGTTCAACATTCATGGTGCCCATAGCATTGTCTGAAATAAGAAACAAGATTTTCTTATTTTGAATAGATGGGGGAACTTCTTCTCTCATTTACTGAATGTACATAGGGTCAGTTTTGT